CTGCAGCGGGCCGGCCGCGCACAAGCCGGAGCCCCCTTCCTCCCTCCCCTCTCCTGCCCCAACCTTAGAGCGAGCCCTCCCGGGCTTGAAGGAAGCCGAGGCGGGAGGGCGGCTCCGCCGCGTGTGGGCGAGGGCAATGCCACTTGTGCGTGCGCAGAGAGCGGCGACGCGCTTTGGCCGCTTGCTCCGCAGGGGCGATCCGTGGCGCGCGCAGAGCAGTCTCTCGGCACACTTGCTGGGGATGCGCGCATGTTGCATGCAGCGTGTGCCTGAGCGGCAGGGCACATGTGCCTCACAGTGCGACACTGACAGTCTGCCTGTCTGCGTACACACGAGTCCTGGCCGGACTCTGTGGAGTGGATATGTAGGCGAGCCGCTGAGCGTGGGGGAAGCAAGCCTCGCGCTTGCGGGGTGAAAGGGGTGTTCAGTTTGTGGTGGTCGGTACGGAATGTCGGCGAATTCATGTGTGCAACTCATCCCTTGATGCCACTGTTATCGTGCGACGAACATAAGCATGCATGGCCCCGCCTTTTTAGTTTTTAAAAAATTCTTAGGAATATGCATTAGAAGAGTGCACATTTTGATTGTGTACATGCGCCGTCTGGAACGTTACTTGTGTGTGAGTCTGGCCATTGTCGGAGCGTGTAGAGACGATATTGGATCTGCCTGATTGCGTTGCATAGGGGACGCACCGGGACGCGCAAACCGATGGGAAGCCACGACTTCTTTCATTCGCTCTCAGAGATGGTGGCTGGATTATTCTGTACCCGCAATTGCAACTGCGCCGGGGAAGCGGAGGGGTGTGGTGTGTGTTTTAATGTTTGGTGTACTAGGACTATGTGCACATTTAATTGGGGGGGGGGCACTGAAGTGGTGTCCGTGTAGTTACAACTTGCAAGAGGAGCTGTTAACTAGCATGGGCGGCCAACAACTCCTGTTCCCTCTAGGTATTGCAATCAGATGCCCCCTCCCCGCCTATTCGTGATTCCCCTGGTTTCTAACGAGCCACCGTCAGCGACCAAGGGCCGTATATGCGAGCAGGGGGGAGGGGAGCCAGAGACGCGCACTTTCATTGACCTTAATCTTCAGTTGCCAGCGCTGGAGATTCCATCTGAACAAGCGCCCTCCCCAAACGAAGCCCAGACCGATCATTCATCACACACGTCTTGCTCATTTGTCGCGGCCATCCCCTCCCCGCCACAAGGGAAGCCTCCTTCTAGCTCCGCCAAACTCGAAAGCCTCGAGCCGCCCCCAGCAGAAGTTGACCGGAAAACTCCCAGCGGCAGCCAAGTGGTACCTGGGGAGACGCGGTCGGCGGGCGCCGAGTTGGCTCCCAGTGCGCACGGGCGGAATGGTCACACACCTGGTTTTTCTGGAAAGAATAAAGATCGGCGAATGGAGAGCGACGCAGAGCTCGGTGGTGGACTCTTGCAAAAGGGGGGCGTTTGACACGAACTCCACTATCCGTTCAGGCTGAAGTGGCAAACTCCGGATTAACCCGGAAGACGGCGGCCTGTAGGGACAGAGGTCGCAACAGGGGGAAATGCTACAACCGAGGCCGCCCGAATGGTAAACGGTGGCACGTCGCACGTGCAGGGTCATCTCCCGCATGCGCGATCCAGCCGGGACTGCTCTCCGAGTGGCCACGTGTTTCTGTGGCGGCGTATAAAACCCTCCCCCGCTATTGTGGGGGGGGGAGTGTAACCACCCAAACCAGGGCTGGTTTGCACCTTTAACGCTAATTGTCAGGAGTTTTACAGCGCAATCTCTGCTGATTGATTCAGAAGTAAGCACCATTGAATACATAGAATACACAGAAGAACTATACAAGAAAGACCTCGATGTCCTTGACAACCCCGATGGTATAATCGCTGACCTCGAGTCAGACATCCTGGAATGTGAAGTTAAATGGGCCTTAGAAAGCATTACTAACAACAAAGCTAGTGGAGGTGATGGTATCCCAGCTGAGCTATTCAAAGTCTTAAAAGATGATGATGTTAAAGTGCTGCACTCCATTTGCCAGCAAATTTGGAAAATGCAACAGTGGCCACAATGGAGAAAGCAAAAGAGTACCAGAAAAACATCTACTTCTGCTTCATTGACTATACCTTTGACTGTGTGGATCACAACAAACTATGGCAGGTCCTTAAAGAGATGGGAGTACCAGACCACCTCACATGTCTCTTGAGAAACCTGTATAAGGGCCAAAAAGCGACTGTTAGAACCGGATATGGAACAACTGATTGGTTTAGCATAGGAAAAGGAGTATGACGAGGACATATATTGTCACCTTGCTTATTTAATATATATGCAGAGTACATCATGCGAAGTGCTGGCCTGGATGAATCACAAGCGGGAATTAAGATTGCTGGGGAAAAGATCAACAACCTCAGATATGCAGACGATACCACTCTAATGGCAGAAAGTGAAGAGGACCTCAAGAGCCTCTTGCTCAGGGTAAAAGAGGAGAGCGCAAACATGAGCTTGAAGCCCAACATCAAAAAAACTAAGATCATGGCATCCGGCCCCATCACGCCTTGGCAAATAGAAGGGGAAGTCGTGGAAGTAGTGACAGACTTCACGTTCCTGGGATCCCAGATCACCGCAGACTGTGACTGCAGCCATGAAATTAAAAGACGCCTGCTCCTTGGGAGGAAAGCGATGGCGAACCTAAACAGCATGATAAAAAGTAGAGACATCACCCTGCCAACAAAAGTCCACATGGTCAAAGCAATGGTATTCCCAGTAGTCATGTATGGCTGCGAGAGTTGGACTATAAGGAAGGCCGAGCGCCGAAGAATAGATTCTTTTGAACTATGGTGCTGGAGAAGACTCTTGAGAGTCCCTTGGACTGCAAGAAGATCAAACCAGTCAATCCTAAAAGAAATCAACCCTGACTGTTCCCTGGAAGGCCAGATAATGAAACTGAAGCTCAAATACTTTGGCCACTCACTGGGAAAGATTGAAGGTCAACGAAGGTGGGGACTGCAAAGGATGAGATGGTTAGACAGTGTCATAGATGCAATGAACGTGAAATTGAGCAAACTTCAAAGGCCTGGCGTGATCTGGTCCATGGGGTCGCGAAGAGTCGGACTCGACTGTGCGACTGAACAACAACAAGCACCATTGTGCATAACGGGACCCACTTTTATGTAAATGTGCACAAGATTGAGGCCTTGCGGCTTCACAGCATTTTAATTAGAATTGCCAGCCCCCTCCTTCCCCTGGCCACCAGCAGGGGATGGGGGGGGGGGGAGGGATTGCCAAACCCCCAGATCCAGGTTGAGAAACTCATGGAGATTTGGGGGTTGAGCCTGGGGAGGACAGGGACCTCAGTGAGGTACAAAGCCATTGAGTCCGTCCTCCAAAGCATCCATTTTCTCCAAGGAAACTGAGATGTAATTCCAGGGGATCTCCAGATCTCACCTGGAGGCTGGCATGCTTATCTCCTGTTATCCTGTTTCAGGCAACCCACAGAGAGAATCCGTGTTGCAAAGCGGTATATAAATTCAGCCAGTCATTAAACAGTACCCGCGCAGACTGCAGGAACATCAAAGCAAACTCCAAGCAAAGCAAACCCGGCCGGAACCGCTCAGCCCCCCCCCCCCGCGCGCACACGCGGCCGGCTGTCCTCCCGGACGCCACTCTGTCCAGCTCTTGAGTCAACGCTGCGTTTTGCGCCCCTTCTCCCGGCTACGGTGCAGGTCGGGTGGTCTGAGGAGGACGCGCTCTCTTTTAGGAACTGCCCCGTTTTGGGGCAAAACATAGTATTTCGCAAGCATTCCGCTTATTCTTCCCTCCGATTTGGGAAATTGTGGTCCTGGAGCACGTGGTCAGTAATTTCACCGACCCTCTTTTTCCTCAATAGGGTTCACCTAATCGTCCATTGGTTTGGAATCGCAGATGTGGCGTGGTACACATTCATACTTCCCTTTATCTGCCGGGGGTCTGGGCCGACCACATTCTTCCTTTAGCAGTCCGGACAAGAAATTAGGGCTCTCCTTTCGACAGGGGGAGGAGGAAGGAATAAGTGTAGGACTGAATGAACAGAAGGCTTCCAGTAAAACCGGGCAAGATGGGCGGGGGGGGGCTTTCAGAAACAGAGCTGCCGTCTCTCTACTGTGCATGGGGGGGGGGTGCTTTATAGAAGGAGACGCTTCAGGTGGGTCGCCCTGTTGGTGTGAAGCGACAGGACAAAGTTGGAGTCCAGTGGCACAACAAAGTTCGATTCTGGGCATAAGCTTTGGTGTGCAGGTGAACACTTCGGGGCTGTAGGCTGCAAGCCTCTGACCTCTCTCCACCCTCGCCTCCTCCCCCCCCCCCGCACCGCTTTGACAGCCTTGCGGAGACAGTTACAGAATAACAACAAATCCAGTAGATCTTCAGTTCTTGAAACGAACTCTTCGGAGTCTGTTACTCATTTAGCAGAATGGGATTTTCCTTTCTGTTCCTTGCCAGTTGATGCTCTTTTCCAAATTTCCACAGCGGGGGAAGCCTGCTTTTGTTAAAAAAAGAAAGAAAGAAAGAAAAAACCCCAAACCCTAATGATTTCAGCATGCAAAGATTCTTTTAGTCCTCCTCCGCATTCCCCGCTCCTCCCCTTTTATTTAAAGGTAATTAATGTATCTCTTTGCTGCTCACGCATTGGAAACTACTGGACCTGCCTCGCCCCCCCCCCCACACACACGCGCAGATCCCCCTCCTTGGGGTCAGCAGGAGTCAGGTGGGGACTCTGGGTGGAAAGAGGTCTGGCTGGAAAGCGAGATCTGCCTCTTCAGCAGAATCCGGGGGTGGGGGTTCCTCCCGGACTTCTCTTCCAGCGTCTTTCCCCCCCGCCGCTGGCTGGCTGGCTGGCCGGCCGGGCTCCTGCGCGAGGCAGCTGAGCGAGAGTAGCTCGCCGGACCCGTGACATCACGGGGCGCGGGGCGGGGAGAGGGGCTGGGAGGGGGAAGGCGGGAGCGGGGGGGGGGTGTTTTCCACCTTTAAAAAGGCAGCAGGCACCGCGCGGCCGTGCGTCAGAGAGAGACTTAGAGACTCTTCAAACTTTCCCGATCAAAATAAACACCGGCGCCGAATAAGACACCGGCGGGAGAAGGGGGGGAGCGAGAGAGCCGCGTGTGCGAGCCACTTCCTGAGCGCGCTCTCTCCCTTCTCCTCCTGGGGAGCAGGAGCCCTCCGTGCCTGCCGCTGCCCCGCAAACCCTTCCCCTCCCCGGGCGCCGCTCAGCGCTCCTCTTCAGTGACGTCTCTCGGGGGTACAACTGCAAAGACTGAGCACTCTTCCGTACAACGATTTGGCGCTTCCTTTTCTCTTTTTTTCTGCGAGTGGGGGGCAAAAAAGAAACTCCAGCCAGCTTGCTCTCCCGCTTCATATTCTTGAGCGAGACAGAGCTCGTGTGCGCAACCCTTGCGGAGGAGGACCCCAACCAAGCGCCTCTCCAGCCTCACTTTTTTTATTTTTATTTTTTTGCGCTAAGCGGATGCCAAAGCGGTGATCCTCTTCGCCAAAGCCTCTTTGCGCCTCGAGATCCAGCCAAGTGGTGACAAGAGAAACTTCGGGTGCGCCTCCAGCCGTCTTCTCCAGCAGCAGCAATGAAATCGGCAGAGGAAGGTACAGTCAGGGATCTTGGCCGTCCCCACTCCCCGCCTCCCCTCTCCCCTTCCAAACGTCTCTCGCTTTTGACATTTGCTGCTTCTGCTCCTGGAAGGTGGTGGAGGGGGGGGGGTGAGAGCGAGCGCGCGCGCCATGCCAAGGGAAACCCGGAGAGGCGCCTGGCTGGCCGGCCGGCCGGCAAGCAAGGCGTGCGTGCGTGCGTGTGTGCGCGCAAGGGCGGGAGGGACGGGCAGGCCCGCCGCTGGCGCCGGCTGCCGTGATTGGGAGGGAAGCGGTGTCCCCCTGGTGTTTCCCCACGGCAGCCTCGAGGTTTGCCTGCTGCGACGCCTTGCCAATAGGTGTCTCCTCTTCCTTGCTGAAACTTGGCCTTGAGCGCCGGAGAGCCTTGCGCTCGGGGCGGCAGGCCGGGGAGGGAGGGAGGCGGGCAGGCTCCGAAAATAAAAACCAGCGCCGCGCGGGGTCCTTTGGGGTGGCCACTCCGCCGGGTGATGTGCGGGCAGAGGAGTCCTGGTGACGTTGGCTGTGCAACAAAGCGGCGCTTATGGAAGCGGGGAGGAGGACGACGCGGAGGGGTGGAGCGGTCTCGTTCTGGAAACCCAAGGAATCCCAGGACACAGTGGAGTTCTTGGCGTTTGTGGCTGCCCGCCCGCCCGCCTGCCTGCCTGCCTCTGTGCCTTGTACGTGTCAGTGTTTTACAGAACAGGGCGCAGAACCCATCCAGCCCAATCGAATTACTTTTAACCACTAAATGCTAACATTCAATCGCGCCGACTGGTTTATGATGAGATGTCATAAACATGAGCTCTCGACAGAGCACACCCAATAATTAAAACCGCTTGCAGAGTGCGTATGTGTGTGTGTGTGTGTGTGTTTTAAATCTGTTCTTTTTAAAAGTTGAGTTCTGGAGAAGCTTAAACCACCGCCACCCATGACGTCACATGCATCCCCCCCTTTAAAAACTGGCAAGTCTTTTTATTGATTTGGCTCTGTTAGAAATAAGATTTTTTTTTAAGTGCTTAGGTGAATAGATTTGTGAAGCCATCTTTCCTTTCTTGGTTTGACGGTTTCGTTCTGTGCTGGCGTGTTTTGGTAACCATGCTGAGGGGGGGAAAGTTATTTAATTATTTATATTATTTAAAGTCCCCCTTTCTCATGTGGGCTCAAGGCAGATCACACAGAGTCAATACAATTAACAGGATGGGACACTCAGTTAACAATGAAATAGGATTTGGGTTGTGGAACCAACCAGAAATCTAAAAAAAACAGTTGAAGAAAGGCATAAGTGTTAACATGACACATACAATTATGGAACACTACATAGCGGAATCCACTTTACAGCAAACTATATACAGTAGTGTAGACCGCAGTCCCTAATAGTTTGTCCAAGTAACTTTGTGAATCATTTGCGTAGTGCTGTCCTATTGCCGATGTCTGGAAAGCCCTCTTGAGTAATTCAGTTTTGCATAGTTTGGGGGAAGCCTGGAGAGTGGGAGCCTTCCCGGCTTTCTCGGGCAGGCCATTCCATAAGGTGGGAGCCAAAGGGGAGAAGGCCCGTGTTCGAGCAGGTGTTGATGTTGCCCGTTTGTGGGCTGGCACCTGCAGAAGCCTCCTCAAGTGAGCAAAGCTGTTGTGGCAGAGCATAGGGGGAGAGGCGATCTCACAGGTATGAGGCCAAAAGCAAAGTCAATTACTTGTTTCAGAGTAGTGCTGTGGACTTCAGTAAGATAACTCTGGGATAACATGCTGGGGAAATGGCAGCTTAATAACCTTATCCATAAACCAGCTAAATTAGAGCTTCTAAGGATTTAAGCAGATATGAGGCATGATCCTATGCATAGTAAGTCCAAAACCAATCAATAGGGCTTATTCCCAAGGAAGCATTAGGATGATAACCTTCAACTACACTCTGTTTCCCTTATAATCTAAAAGAGTTCTACTGGATTTGGCAGATAAAAAGTTGGCACCTCGGTCCCAAACAACTGGTAACCTGGCCCTTAACAACAGGGTTCATTTTGAACCAAGCCCCATTCATTTTAATGGAATTTACTTTTGAACATGTAGGATTTTCAGTATTCTCTTGCAAGAGATTCTTGACGGTCTCAATGCAAAATTAGTTGCCAAGTAAAGCTGTAAGTCGAAGCATACTTACCAGGAAGTAATCCCAGCTGAACTCGTCATGATGTACTTCTGAAGTTAAACACATTCAGGTGCTTCCATTTTGAACGAGTGCATGGGTTGATATTAAAATATTTTTAAAAGACTTCCTTTATCAATTGTAGGTTAAACAGAAAATATACTCTCATTTTGACATACTAGAATTCATTCTCATTTGATATGAGTGTATGCCACCATTTGTTGTTGTTGTTGTTCAGTCGCACAGTCGAGTCCGACTCTTTGCGACCCCATGGACCAGAACACGCCAGGCCCTCCTGTCTTCCGCTGTCCTCTGAAGTTGGCTCAATTTCATGTTCGTTGCATCTATGACACTGTTTAACCATCTCATCTTTTGCCGTCCCCGTCTTCTTTGACTTTCAATCTTTCCCAGCATCAGGGTCTTCTACAGTGAGTGCCACCGTACATTATAGCAATGCAGGTATATTATATGGTAAAACACTGGGTAGTACAACAGATGAATAAAAATGGTGAAAATATCAACCAGCACATGGCTATCATTATTTTTAATGACTGAATGAAATAACAGTATGATGCTACTATTGACCCTAGGTCTATAACTTAGAGCTTAATTTAATTTCTATGTGTGTAATCATTTGAAAACTTCCTTTAAAAGTGTAGAATAGTGAATTTATGTGCATCAGGCCAAATTAAGTCCCCTCCGCATCAATAGGACTTACTTCCAGTGAAGTGTGTACACAATTGCAGCTTTCCCTTTTAATCTTTCCTGTTTCCCTTCCTCATTGCAGCTGTGGTCTCATGTGACTTTTGGGCACATGGGTCCCATGATCTTCAGTATAGCTTTTTCAGTGGTCAACAGTTGCCCCTCCTCTTTTCGTCACCAGTGGAAAAACTAGTAGCATAAGAACCAGGTTTAAAGTAATTTATACAATCCTATCACTCTACCTCATGGATTTTCAAATGCTGCGTTCAGAACATAACAACACTGAGAGCCGGATAAATGGTCCATCTAACGTCATATCTTTTCTTTTCTTTTTTGACAGTGCCACTCTCAAATATGTTGTTCTATGAAATCTTTTTCTACCTAAGTATTTTCAAAATCTGGAATATTTCATCTGTCATTAGATGGGGTAATGCTACAGAAAGTTTCTTGGTAGAACACAGTTAACAATTTGTGTCGTCCAGTGCCTGGGCTCTACATCTGATAGCCTTCAAATTCCTCCTCTTCCAATTAACTTGTAAATTTAGTCACTCTGCCTAATAGTGTTGATGGCTATGCGTTTTTAATGCTTGAAATATTTTATGCAAAATGATGTGACTTCAGCAGTTTTGTGGACTTTTATTTTCAGTCTCTGAACACGTAGCAGTCTAACCAAAATTAAACGCTGTGTCAAGCTAAGCAGGGCTGCCAGTGGGGCAAGGGAGTTGCAGACAGTTGACATGGATGAGGTGTTCTTCCTCCTGAGACAAGAGGTCTCCTGAGTGTATCATGGTCAGAAAACGAAAAGGGCTAGTGACTCTTAGCATCATGGAAACCATTGGAGAGACTGTGTCCTAATGCTTTGTGTTGATCATGACAGGAGTCAGTGGGTGAACGCACTGTCTTTTGCTAATCTCTTGGGTCCTTCCCCAGGACATGTTAAAGCATCCTATGGGTTCGTGTGCTCTTCCTTCTTTCGTCTTTGATCTTCTTGCCCTTCTCTTCCCATTTGAAAATGTTTGTGATGACTATAGGCGAAATATCTGTCCTAAGCAGAGTGACAACCTATTGAATCCATTAAAATCAATGCACTTAGAAGGTTTAGGACTGCATTGTTAGGTTCTTTCATTTATGAGGAAGTTGCTTAATGCAAGTGGACTTCCGCATGGAAGTCCATCATCCTACTCGCATGCCTGTCCTTGCATGAGCACATGCTGCTAGGAAGCTGTGCCTCTCCCCACAAGCAAATGTACACTACATGCATATGTCACTACATGCACATCATACGTTACCATTCTTTGTGCAATTTCTTATGCAAAAGTGACTTCTGCATAGAAAACCTTTAGTATTCAATACGGTCTTAGGGAGACTCAAAACGTTTTAATCTTGATTTAGGGAGCTCGCCAGGATCATATTTGAAAAATGCTGAACTGACACAGGACTGGGTCGCAAAAGGAAAGGACTCGTGTGCCCCATCAGTTGTGATTTGCTAATTGTGATGGTGAAAATGTGCCGTGTGTTAATATTTGCAAGTGAATGGATTCCTCAGGAATTCTTGTCAGGATATATTCATTCGCAGTAGTGGCAGCAGACACCCTGTGTTGGATGGCCCAGGCTAGCCTGATGTCATCAGATCTCGGGAGCTAAGCAGGGTCAGTCCTGGCTAGTATTTGGATGGGAGACCTCCAAGGAATACCAGGGTCATGATGCGGAGGCAGGCCATGGCAGGCCACCTCTGAAGGTCTCTTGCCTTGAAAGCCCTGCCAGGTAAGTTAACCGTGACTTGAAGGCAAAAAAAAAAAAAAAAAGGCAGAGTGCCAGTGAAAGTAAAAGTGTGCTGGAGCTCACCGAAATCTCCTGCCATTCCAGCTGTAATTATGGACAGGCTGCATACGGATGTTTGCTTGGAGTAATTTCTGAATCACAATGCGTTTTAAAAACAAAATTCTAGTTGCTTTCTGGAGGTTTTTTGGACCGCTTATTTGCTGCAGTTTAGCAGCGTACACAACATCGATACTGGAAAACCAAATGCAGTTCTGAACTTGATTATTGTATGCCCAGACTCAGTCATGTTTCATTAGAGTGTGTTGTGATAAGAGAGCATTCTTCTAGTCTTTGACTACTGTTCTTAAAACATGTTGTTTTAGGTAGGCAAGCACCTGTG